TAATGTATATATATTTTATCATTTCTGTATTATACTTAAAAGTTTTTCTAATAATGTTTCTGTTTATCGTAAAAATTCTCAAATGAAATTAATAATACACGCAATTATATTACTTTTTATGTTATTTATAAATTAAAATAGAATATTTACATATATTAACATGCAAAAAGAAACGGCTGAAAAATAGTAATCATTTCAAAATATAATTATTTAAATTTTTTACATTTTAAAGATAAGTAACATGTTTAGTAGCAATATATAAGATATATAAACACGATTATAAAAAATTTATCACTATAAATTTAATATTATGAAAGCGAATATTAAACTTTCAACATCTACTCAAAACCTTAACTAAATCAATAAATAATGATAATCTTTAAATTAAACTTGTCAAAATTACAACTTTTTTTTATATTTGTACTTTTTTCGTACTTGTTTATGTTTTCTGTAATAAAGACTTACCTAAAATGGTAGAGTTTGCCTATATTTTAGCGAGAAAACTACGGAAGACTTACTATTGTATAACATATTTAACTTATATGATAAATAAATATCATTTGCAGGATAAAAATTTTGCGATTATGTTTAAAACGTTTTTAAAATTGTTTTATAGTATTCTAGTATGAACAAAAGATGTATTAATCCATAAATAATTAGTAATCTTGTTGATTATTTAGAATATTTACAAATATATCTATGTCTTCAATTTTGTGTTAAAACTTGTTGCAGAGTTAACAGGTCTGAAGATGACATAGGTATATCTGTATATATTCTAAATAATTCAACAATCTAAGAGAAAGCTTTAACACATTTAAATATTATTGATGTCTTTTAAAATTCAATTATTAGTTAGCAACTTATTATTATTTTCTATACAAATTTTAACGCATACTTTTTAAAAATTATTAATGTAGTATACTTAAAAAAACATGACTGTTTTTATATGTATACAAGTGATATAATTTATTAGATTAATTTCTTTTTAACGTATTTATTTTAATAACAACTACGCAAAAAATAATTTATGCTTTTGTTTGTTTAACTAGTATTTATGAGTTGATGCAATATGATTGATAAGTCATTTTAACTTAAATTCAAGATATAAACATATATAATTATTTAGAAAGTCTTATAGTATTCTAATTAAATCAGATTATGCACTAGTTACAATCGTTAAAAAAAATATATTTTAGAAGCTATTTGTAATTCTGAAATAATTTTTCTTATATAAAAACTTATAAGATAATGTATCAGAAAATTTTACTAATAAGTATTAATTATTGTTAGGTTTTGTTCGAAGAACTTAATAAGTGAGCGAAGGTAATTGGAAGTTTTTTGTATAGAAAATACTTTTTATTATTTCTTTATAAGTAAGGATAGATCTTATTCAATAAACATCATTCAGAATCAAAAAATCCTCAACAATTTTATTAACCAAAACTTATTTACTAAAAATGGTTATAATACTCTAAAATGTTTAGTTTATAGAAAATTTGTCTAGTTATCGGATAATTAATAATTTATTGAATTTTTTAGATTTATTATTATAAATTAACTTCTACTATCTAGATTTAAAATTAAAATTTTCATCTACTTTTAAAATTTAGTACTTTTAGCGAAATCAAACAAAAGAAACATACTGGATTTAGTTTATGTTGAAACATCTGAGAAAACCTTATAATCAACGTAAATTTGATTGCTCATGACATATTTAAATGTCACCATACGTGTTTTTAATTTTTTAATTTAATTTATTCATCGCAAATTAAGAACATTACGCAACTTTGATGCTTGAGAATTAAAATTTCTAGAATATCAATGGTTCTCACTTATTGGGGGGTGTTCAGTAACTCGATAAGTTACCCTACATTTTAATTGAATATACTAACCATATGATCTGAAAAATGAAAACTAGTTTTATTTTTTATAATTCATTTAATAATTATAAACCAGTTTAGATTTTTGGTATACACCACATGACTATTAACAGGAACTGAATTATATGTTACATATACTAAGTCAGTGATGTAATTAGTATGTAAGGAGTATAATATTATGTAAAATACGGTAGAGAGGTACGTGTCAATAAATAGAACGTTCACAATGTTATAAAAATGTAACATACAGTGCACGTCATAGTTAACTTTTTGGCTATTTTATTTTTTTATAATTATATACACATTAATTAAATCAAATAAGCCATTTTTTAAAATATATGATCGTCGAATTTTCTTCAAGATTAGAGGTTAAAATTAAATGTATATACAAAAATGTTTTGGAAGCATTTTTTTAACTAATAAAAATTCATTTCGTATTACGAGGTTAGAAAGCACTGATTACTTCAGTATTTATCAATCGAAAAAGATATTTTCATATAATATTAACATTGGATTAATGAGAGCATTAAACAAATATTAGTGTTAAAACAAAAAAAATAGGTTTCACTTATTTGGATATACATATTAGATGCCGTAACACCACTTCCTGTCATTACAAAGTCCAAAGTGTAATGTTTTTTAATAAAATAAAAACGTGGGAACATACAATTCGAATTAAATATTCATTTGATTACTTATACCGACTCTCATAAATAGTAATATTTATGATAATACAACTCAAAAAACTGTTAAATTTATGTATTTAGTTTTTAATTTTAATCAATACTTTTGTTGTATTATACTTCAAAATAACATTCGTTCATCGTACGAACACTAATTTAAAAGAATACTGTATTATTTTATGTCTTTGCTTAAAAATTTTAATTTTGTTTGTTTGAAATTTTTGCGTATTTATACTTTTATATATTTCATACAATGAAAAGTTTTTTAAGAATTGCATATTTTTCACACAATTAAGTAAAAAATGTTATGTAAAACGAATTTATTCATATTAATCAGGACTTTAATTTATAACCACTTGTATAATTCTAATAAGATTGAAATGTTACTAATAATTACAAAAATCATTGTCCAGTAGAAAATGCTCGCGTCACAATATTGTTTGTTGCGCACATCTTCAGTAAAATGTATTATTCAATAGGTTCATTAATATTGTATTGTTTGCATGCTTTGGGTATTAAATTTGAAATGATAATAAGTGTTTTGTAATAATATTTTATACTATCAACATTTAATTGACGTTAAGTTATTTCTCTTTTTAGCAAAAATGTTTTCATGTGCAAGTTCCATTTTCTTATTAAAATTATTGACGATGTAGTAAAAATGAAAAATACAATGAAATTGAAGGAATAATATTTTATAATAATTTAACCATCTCTTTAATTACTTAATTAATTTATAAATGAGAGGTAATGGTTGTAATAAATATTTTGACTAATGAACATTGTGAACTAAATATGTACATGTATTTAATTCAAATACAAAACATCATTCTCTCATCGCCTTTTTTAGTATGTATAACATTAAAATATCCTGAATCGCCTGAATCTCATTCAGGTGCTTAAATATTTTTCTAATTAATATTTAAAATTTTCCGATAAAATATTTACACATTTTTGAGTTTTATATATTCAGTGTTGTCACTACGGAATGATTGACACTGGGCACCTATAGACGCCTTAGTATTTAGTAGTCTTGTAGTATTTTAGTCAAAAACTAACTTTTTAATATATATAGTATAAAATTTAGCCCTTAATTTTGAGCAATTATAAAATGGTTATATTTAAAATTTTTCATTATTTTCAAGGATTTATTGCTGACTGACTCCTCGTCAAAATTGTAAGATACTTTCTGTATAATTAAAAATTTTAAATTTGGTACAAACCTCTTATAGTGTAAGTAAAGGGGAAAATTTGAAAATTGTTATTTTTTCAAAATAAATGGTCTTACAGACAGGGGTGTTATTTGAGTATATGAGGACGGGCAGTCATATACTCAAGGCTAAGCCAACAAAATACATAAATTGTGAAAAAAGAGTCACAGTACAGGATTAGAACTCGCGACCCAAGGCGTTGTAGAAATCAATAATCTTTAGTAAACAAATTATGAGTTTATAGCATTAATTACAAATATTAATATTTATGATAAATGGTATTTATTTACATTCGTATTATAAATATTTCTATAAATATTAGAGTTTATTCATTGCGTACAAATAACAGTTAATACTTTTTAAGGTTTATTAAGCAGTATGCAGTTAGATATAAAAGTATAACTTTTGTTAGTAGGTATTCGTATGTGCCCCTAAGCATTTTGTTATCGGTCATCTCCTATTACAAAAATAATAACGAGTTATGACCTGCTTATCCAAAATATATTGATTTGTCATTTCTACTAATTATTTATGTACAGTTATATAAACTATGTCGACATGTCAATCAATGAATATTTTTTTACGTATTAGTGAAATTCTAAAATAGAATAGTATTTCATTAGTCCTATTAATTATTCACCAATTTTATCTGTGGTAATTTCATCATGTGTAGTCGTTCTAATAGATTCAGAAGAGTGGAATTTGACCATTAATTTATCGTCATCGTGTCAAAAGTAACCTATTGACATTATACAATTTTAAAATACTTTAAAAATTTCAAAGTCTTATGAATAAAGTTTTAAAAATAGTAATTCTATATTGTTCAACAGTTAAATTGCATTGAAACCAAAAATATTAAATCATTTAAAAAAGTTTTTTGACCTTAAATTACTGTTAAAAAATTTAAAAAAATTATTATATAATCACTTGGTTACATATTTTATGACGGCGGCGATATAAAGATAAAAATATTTAACATATTCAATTGAAAATAAATGTTTTTGTTTATGAATTGAAGTAAACGAAAACGTATTTTATTATTGAGTATAAAATTATACTTAAATAGATACTTATTGTAAAAATATACTGTGTATAAGTTCAGTGAGTTGAATATAAATAAAAATATACGACAACCGTAAAAAATTAAGATAAATTTTCATCTTAAAATTGCAATACTTTCTTTCATATAAGATACCTTTGTTCTAATGTTATGAATTATGTTATAGAATCAAATACTCGATCGTGTGAAATGTGACCATGTGACAGTTACAAAACCAGAAGAAGACAGACGAAGACGAACCATAATTGTCGAAAAAAAAAATGGCAGTTTTGGATTCATGCTTCAGGTAATTTTTTATAACTAAGAAAAAATTATTTGAAAAATTATTTTTGACAACTAATGAGTCACCTTGCATCCCTCTTTTTAAGCTTTATACTTAGAGGCGTATTTACATATACACAGTGCAGTCACGTTCTTACAGTGATAAATTTAAAGGGGCGGCGTCCTATTTTAATAATTATAGTAATTACATATTAGAGATGATTTTTTTAATATCAATACAAAAGAATGGCGACGACCACTCCAGTTAATATGAATGGTGGTAATTTTTTAAATACCTACACACAGATAATATGTAAATACGCCCCTGCTTGTACTTAATACATAGTGTCTGTTGGAGATGGTTTTTTTTTTATTATTTATTAATAAAACCTCGGAAGTAAGGGCTGTTGGCTACTGTATAATATTTATTTCTTATATTATGGAAAATATTGACATGTTTTATTATAGTTGTCCAATAAAAAAATTAGACATAATTATAGTTTCTCCCTATATTTTATTAGATATTTGTGTGTGCTCATTATTTATTTTTGTAGAGTTACGGTATTCACTACAAAAAGGAACAGGAAATCGAAATGATTACGTATGTGGATCACGTTGATTATGACGGTCCGGCATATAGGGCCGGCATGAGAGAAGGTAAGATCAGTTATTTGATTAGATTTTGATTGTACTTTTAATTGCAATTGTTTACTTTAGGAGACGTGATCCTATCAATAAACGGCATCGACATGGAAAAATCCGATCATAAGACCCTTGTGAATTTTATAAAAAACTGTGATACTAGGATGCGAATGGTCGTATTATTTGAAGACTGTGTTCGCAAGGTATAATTATAATATATAGTACGTATTTAAGTTGTCGTATTTCATGTGTTTATACTACATAGGTCGACTTGCATATGAGGTATATCCAACTACAAAGGACTCTCCTAGCAAAAGTCGAAGAGTTAGAAAAAGTAGAGATCAAAGAAAGAGAGTTAATGGAAGGAAAATGGAAAACTCATAGTTTACCGGCTAGAAAAAAATCTTCAAAAAATTCTAATGATCAAAAAAATGTATTGACTGAAAATGGTAATAATCATCATAAACAATAATGATATTCATTATGAACTATTTTTCCAAAAGTTATTTTATAAAATTACTGATTTTTAGCAAATTTATGACGTTTATTAATTTAATCATATTGGTGTAATAATATTTAAATACAATAAAATAAGTTAAACTGATGATTTAATAATAATTTTTATTTTTAATTAATTGATGACTGTGTATCATATTTTCCTAAGTTATACCATATCTGTACCTCATATCTAGACTATATTAAAATTATGATTTTAAGACTTCTTTTTTTTATGCGAAATCAATGTTTTTTTATTTAAATTTTATTTAATTAAAGTTTGATCTCTATCGACAGAATTTTGTTACAATGACTATGTCCATATTTTATCAGTTTTAAGAGATAAAGTTCTAACTTAAATTTACCCTAATAAAATTTAACTCTACTGAACTTATCTAAGAAATACACTAATGGTATATAAACCATGTAGCTTTATAATATAGACCAACAATATTATCATGTGAACTTTTGTTTTAATTTCTAAAACTTTTTAAAGAAATTAAATTTTTCCGTCTATGCATTTATGAAAAATTGACTGAAAATAACTTACGTTAGGCTATTTCTGAGGTACAGATGTTATCATTGGTATTGTACTTTAAGTCACGGTATATAATCCAGTAATGTATTTATTTTTTTAATATGATTTCTCATACACTATCAACCCCCAACGGCCGTTTCTTGTTTTTATCTATATGTGTTATTATTTTTACAAAAATGCTACAAATATTTTACTGAAATGAAATTATTTTTAAACTTTTCCTAACCATCAAATATGTTACAGGTGATAGTTCTATACCTAGACCAACATTATCGACTGAAAACATAGCTAAACCTCAACCGATTTATGTACCTAAACCAAATTTTGTATTGGCCTATCGACCACAACATTTTGTTGATCAACATGGACGTTCCTATTACCTACACCAACCAGCCACTGCCATTATTAGTAGTGGTTCAAATTATGTCGGTTGGCACAGGTAAACTTATGCTAATAGTAATATAATAAATACCATACTAATGTCTAAAAGTTATACATAACCTTATGCTTAATATAAAACACGATGCGGTTAAAATTATTAATTTACCTTTAATCAAAGATAAGAGGTTATTGAGTCTCCTCAATTATAAACATTATAGTGAAATAATTTTTTTATTAATTTAGTCATGAAACATAAACTAAGGATACAAAAAATAATTAAGTCACAAAAACATTAAATTAATATTTTTTATTGCTAAGTTAATTATTACGAAAATTTAAAATAAATAAATAATAATTATTATTATATTTTCATTGATAAAAATATTCGTAAGTTAAATATTTTTAAGCATCATTTGAAACTGAAAGACGTACATTCAGTTACAGTTAATCATATGTATATTACAGTAATCATTCGAATTGTAAAAATGTCAAAAATTATGAACATCAGGAAAACTGGAACCCTTCAGATCAACCTATGCAAATGAGGCGGTCTCACTATGTGGTAGAGTTGAATCGAAGGTGTAGTACATCATCCGACTTGCCGAATAGGTCACAACAACATAATAGTAATTGCAAATACAATTTTACCAACAGGGCTTCTCAACGTGCTTCGTCTCAAGGTAAAATATATGTAGTTTTGTTGTAATTTCTTACTAAAATCATAGTTCTCAAAGCAAACTAATCGAACACTAACTTACTTAACTTTCTTTTAAACGTCTCCTTTAAAAAAATCCACTATTTCTTTTTTGGTGCTTTTTGGCGCGTGTGGTGGAGTTTTATTGTTTTCCTATGATGATGCTTTCCGGTGTAGGCGACACTTGTCCAAGATGGGGTTGTATACGCACTGGTGGTAGTTCCAGCGTCCGTCACAATCGGCAAAATATATACCAGCAGCAGCAGGACAATGTCAGCTTAGAGGAGTATGATCTAGCTGGGGAAGGAGAAGCTTGCTGTCCGGGATCTCAATGTGTTCCAACTAGAAAACACAGAAGAAGGCGCAAATCGTCTCATAGTCGCGACAAAAGCCCAGGCAAGCCTAAACAGACTTGCTGGTTTCGCTTTTTTAGATGTCTATTTATCTTTGTTTAAAAATTCTTTGCTATTTTATATTATTTTATTTCAAAGACTGGTAGACTATATAAAAATGATACACTTTTAATTTGTTATTTACTTAATGTACAAAAAGATTGCTTGTAATGATATTTTATTTTTGGTGCCCTTTTGCCAAATAAAGTGTCAACTATAAAGTTTCTACTTTATTTTTAACTTAGAAAAATATTAATTTATTATTTTTCTTTTTTTTTGTTTGTTTTCATCATTTTCTTCAGCACTTCAAGTGGGACAATCAATTGCATGCATTTCTTTTACAAAATACACAATATGTGTTTATTATTTATGCCAATATTTTATTAGAAAAATAGTATTAAGCATGAAATATTGGTAAACTTAAAAATATTCACTCGTAAACTTTGGATTCATAAAATAATAACGTCATTCAAGTATCTTTAAACAATATTTTTAAAATTGTCTGCAAGTGTTGGCAAGCAACGAATAATTTCTAGCAAATAAACATCAGGTGATGTTTATTTTTAGATGTTTGGTCATATTTCAGGATCAGATTAAGTTTATAGTAAACGTATATCAAAAAATGATGTGAAAAATTTTGGATAATTTTTTTTTTTGGTATCAAATTACATCAGTCCAAATATTGAAAATCATAAAACTGAAAATTATTTGCAGATACCATATTTTTGAGTAAACAATATAAAAATACATACGTGGAAGTGATTCTAAAATAATTGTTTTATTGTGATAACGGAATAAAAAATATATTCAACAAATATTTCTATTTTGATAATTAATCAGTGATTTTTTTTAAAAACTAAATTTTAGTTTATGATTGGATCATCTCACAATTAACTCAATTAAATAAAAGTTCTTTTTATAATCGACCATGACACTATAAAGTATTATTTTATTTGAAATGCCTTACAATTAAGATAAGTATTATTGAAAACGATTATAATTAACATAAAATTTTTAGTTTTATACTTAATCTATGTACAATGTTTTAAATAACAATGATAACATACACAGCTTTGCCGGAAAAATTAATAAAATAATTATGTTTATAAAAATCTTCAACTTTTATTTTTATTTTAAACTTCAACCACAGCTCTTATTGTTGATGCCTTAATTATAAGTTATAAAATGTGTTGGGATCTTAATTGCAAGAACTTTTAAGACTCGCATGGCTTGATTTTTAAAGTATTATGTGTTAAATTTTCTTCGTTTTACAAAATTGTCTACTAATTTTTGTTAATATTTTAAAATATATAAAAAAAGACACATTTTTTATAAAACTATTTATTTTGTTTTATTAGAATGCAAATCGGAGAGTTCCTACTGTCGAAAAGGTCACGAAAAGCGACGTCACTCTTCAGCAAGAAAACACGATGAAGAGCACCTAGTCTCTGATAATCGGTATAATGATTTTACAAACCTGATCAATGATCGTTACGCTTCTGATGAACGCATATGCTCCAAACATCAAAACAGTTTGACTGAGAACAGTCGAGCTACTTATACGACATCTCTGAGCACCGACACGCTTTATTGGGACGAAGATCCGTTGCAACCGTCTTGCACGCCAACTAGTTCACGACAACACTCAATAAAATCCCAATCCTCATCAACATACAGGCGCGAAAACGGAGTGAAGCCTGTCAAATCGTGGGACAACTTAACGACTAAGGCATTTGGAGGTTATGGGTTTGGTTTCGACTTCCTAGATCGGGATCAGATAAATGCCGCAGCACATCAACATCATCAGCATACTGTGTACCTTCAATTGAAAAATGTCAAAGGTCATGGCAAACATCATCATCATCATAATCATAACCACAACCGTATCAAACATTCGACGAAATCAACAGAAGCGCTACTGACACTGCCCCCACAGTATCCGATTACGGGTAGTTACGAATACCTTGACGATGAATGTTCTTCTGGAAAATATTTCCTCAACTACCGTAATGACAAAGCTAGTCAGACGGATTGCCGCAGACATTCGCACCATCAGACAAACTATCAACAATCAGAAATTACAAGGTTATAGAATCTCCTCGCAATCTCAATTTTTATTATTTATAAAATATTTTTACTATTTATTTTTTAGTCCTTATATATAAACAATAATAAAATACCCTCAGCATATCAAACATTGTAATTTATCATGCTTGTTTTATTATGTGTGAAGGGATAATTATCTCTAGTCATTATAATTTTTATCTCATTTATTATTATTACCACTATGCCATTAATATGATTAAATGAATATTGTTTCAGACTCAACAATCAGTTAATATTTTAATTTTTTTTTTGTTATTAATATTATTCATATGGGATAAACGGTAGAACATTTAAAAATGGCATTTAAAGTGTAGTTCAAAGATATTATGTTTTTGATATTTGACATAAAACTTTAATTTGATAATTCCATATTATATTTTACCTTAATTGTAATGTGTACGTAAAATACTATTCATTTTTGTCAATAATGATAATAAGTTTTTCTTTTTGAATCTAACACAATGAGAATTTAATTTTATTACATATTTTTTAATTGTACACTCTAATTACTTATAACATAAAAAAAACAACATTCAAAATTTTTCAGTTTTGTATGTTCCAATATCTAATTTATATGTACATGAATGTTTTGGTGTTGTAATGTAGTTCAATAAAACATATTTATTAAATTGTTTTTTATGTATTTTTTTTAATTTTGATACATACAGCCTTATCGTTTTGAATAAAAGTTATCCAGATTTAATATAATTAATAGATTATAAAACGTTAAACTACTGTTTATTACTTATTCACATAAAATTATTGAATATTGCGCCACTCGGTAATTATTTTTTAATAATATTATAATTATTTCAAATTAAACGCATTGTCTATTCATGACATATTTTAAATACACTAAAATAAAATGCATAGAATTTAAACATCATATGAAATATTAATTGTTTCCCTAGCCATGAAGAGGTTATGTCAGGTCGATAGCAAAGACTCTCTTACAAATCATTGTAAGAGAGAGCCAAATTTTAGGATCGAGAGTGGAGATAATGACCATCTCCACTATCGAACCTAAAAATTTGTAATCATTTGACGTGCCGTTGAAAAAAGTAGGTCAAGTGAGGGTTGGAAAAATAAATCGCAGCCACAAAAAACCATGTAGTAAAATAATATTAACATGAATAAGAAATGTTTTCTCACTAGGGGAGACTACAGTGATGTGATTCTTGATATTTATTGAATCTAAATGATTTGAACATTTTTTTCTAACTCAAAAAGAATTAAGGAAAACATACAAAAAATTGACAGTCATTGTTCAGTAATTAAAACTTAGACTCAATATTTGCAAAAGGCAGGGCAAGTTTTGTAAGCTATTTTATAAATTCGCTATTAAAACTTGTATTAATAAAAGCATATTTAAAAATTCAAAAATTGAGAGGCAAAAATAACAGTTTTTAATTAACAAATTTTTCTAATAACTTTAAGTTGACTATGATGAACAAAAAAATCATCAAAATTTCATATATGCTGACATTTTTATACACATGACTATATGAAAGGCGCAATAACATCAAATTATGTTTTCCTTTAATATACACTAATTTTAATAATTATTCAGTTTACAAATAAAATCAAAATAATTGTGTAATAAATGCTTTTGTATCCATTGAAACAGTGAAAACTATTACAATTTCTGTTAGATACCAATTTGTTTATAACAGAATGTTGTCAAATCTTTCAGTTAGCGTTTTGCAATCTATGGTTTTTATATTTTCTCTTAAATTTCTAATGTTTTGAGTATATACTTACACAATTAAATTCTATTTAGCTTAGAAATTATTATCACAATTTTTAATTAATCTAAACGGTACGCTATTATTACGAAGTGAATCAAAGCATTCTATTAGTAAGAGGCACAACGTAAAGATATTTTATTTTTGGCGATTTATTGCTTTAAGTCGAAGAAAGATATTTTAGATATTTAAACAATTTACAATCATTAATTTAAGTTTTATTTGTTTATACGTAGCCCCGTAGAGCCCGATCACACCGACACTGTAGCACAGCGCAACGAGGAGCAGTAAGCCTCGTACACAATGTACCGGTGGTCGCTGAGGTTTTCACTGTGCACGACGCACGTCGTTGGTGGATTGCAGAATTGCTGCAGGTATTAAATATTTAAATGAATTGCTGGATGGTAGTATTCATTTGATGTATCTTTTGCACTTGATTAATTTTAAAGTTTCTCAGAGAAATTCTCGTTCCCATTTTCCTTTCTTCGTCCAAATTAGTTCTACAAATTACTTACAAAATGAGCCGATTAGAAGAATTTTAAATAGTGCCAATATGGACCCACATATGTTATCTTGTTAACCACTTCGTTTTTCTTATTTTGTACTTTAAAACGGTAATATGTTTAATATATTATTTCAAATATTCTATTGAATCGTTGTGAATTATATTTATACTGATATTATTTTATAAAATTGTTTAATAACCTGATATTGTAAAAGGGCCAAGCCTGTTCCGTTTCCGACGTACACCTTAACTGGTTTTGCTGCGTACGAGTTTTTTTTTCTTGCCTTTTAACATAAATTGTGAAACAATTTATATGGTAGTTATTTAATAATTTTTGTTTATGTCAACATTTCTGTACCGATAGCCGAGTGCGGAACTGTACTTTTAATTATCGAAGTATATATATATATACAAGGTGTAAATCTTTCGAACCATAGTAATGTATGGGCGAGTATCCTGGTAAAGTGTAAAATAGGACCTCGTTTTTTTTTTTTTCCAATTTTGGAGGAATTTTGGAATAACCCCCCCAAATTTCTCTAAAATTAAAAAATATTTAAATACTTCCCACAAAATTCTCATACAAATTGAGTGGTCACTCGATTTTTTGTAACTTTTGCGCCCTCCCCTGAACTTTGGGTTCAAAGTTGGAAAAAATTTCACATTAGTGTGACCCATCAATTTGTATTGAAAATTTACTGAGAATCCTGTGATGTAGTTTATTTTTAGTTTAAACGATTAAATAACAAGAAAAACCGAAAAAACCCACAAATAATGTGATATTTATGCATTTTTATTGCATAATAAAAGAAGCTATATTTTAAAAGTTATCTAATATTATGTGCAACTTAATTAGTGACTATTCAATAGCGAACAGTATTTTTCGAAGATTTAAATAAACATTAACAAGCTCAGTGATGTACCATATTCTCATTATTGATTAATTTCGGAAAAGAGTAGTGTGCCGATTACATTAAAATAATTATTTCTAATTATCCTATTGTAATAAAGTTAAAAATATTCATTTCAATATTATAATTGTTTCATTTTCCCGACCTAAAAAGAAATAATTTNCATTTTCCCAACCTAAAAAGAAATAATTTTATAACAGTTTCAATGATAAAAATTATAATCGGTTTGAATAAATAATAAAAGACGAAATAAACTCGTGAAATTAAAAAAATATCACATTATTTGTGGGTTTTTCGGTCTTTCTTGTTATTTAATCGATTAAACTAAAAATAAACTACATCACAGGTAACCCAGTGAAATTTCAATACAAATTGATGAGTCGCACTAATGTGAAATTTTTTTCCAACTTTGAACCCAAAGTTCAGGGGAGGGCGCAAAAATTACAAAAAATCGAGTGACCACTCAAATTGTATCAGAATTTTGCGGGAAATATTGTGGTATGATTTATTTTTAATTTTAGAGAAATTCGGGAGGGTTATTCCAAAATTTCTCCAATTTTGGAAAAAAAAAAGATGAGATCCTATTTTTTACTTTACCAGGATACTCGCTCATATATTACTATGGTTCAAAAGATTTACACCCTGTATATACTTTTTGTCTTAAGAGTGTAATTTTATGTATACAAATATAATATTGCATACACCTAGCCGTATTATTCTATTTAAGTGCCGTAATTAATCGTATACTTATCATTTGTGTGGTGTTTACTCGTAACACTAGGATACGTGATACAAATTAATAACATTTCATTTTTGCGTCGAAACAAAATGCTGAAATGCTTAAATTATTAAATAATTTTTAGTATAACTTAATAGGGCTTTTTTTACAGGTATTATATTTTTTATCACTAATTTTCTAGAAAATGCATTATTTTCTAAGAAAAATAATTTTTATTGAAGTTTAAAAGACAACTATATAGTTCGACAAAATTTCGACCATTGAATACTATATGTACGCCATTGAAAATTCTATAGTAATAAATATATTTTCTTTTTTTATCGATTTTAACAATATTAGAAGTATTTGAATAAAAAAATTCAATTATTACGATTTTTTCGACTTATTACATTTATTTATAGTTATTATATAAATTATTATGTATATCAAATAAAAGTAATGTCAAAAATAATATTTTAATACTTTTTTAACCCTCGCAACATTTTATATCAACATAGTTAATAATAACATAAATTAAAAAATAAATAAAGAATATATAAACAACATTTTAGTTTTACTTTTTTTAAACTCAACTTCAAAAAGTAATATATAGGTTGAATCTTGGTGTATTAATATTCACATTTTGCACAAATTATAATAAATACAATCAAGGGGTATTAAAAAGAGAATAATTTTTTTTACCTAAATAATTTTATATTTTTTATCAAATACTTAGCATAGATTAAAAATAATTTAAAATGCCAAAAATGTATTATATTAATTATGGTATACATCTATATTTAACGGTTCTCTTCTTTCTGATCACCGGAATCGTTTGAATCCATATAGTTCTGTAACATTTCTTTAGCCTAAAACACAGCATAAATATTATCATACGACAACAGTTATTGATAATCGATATTTTTGATACTGTAAATCGCCCGAAAGACGATTCATATTTAGATGCCCCTATAATGCAGTTCCAAAATTATTATTTTGTAATTATTGAAAATATAGCTAATCGATGTACAGAGTGATCCGTGTTTGTCTGGGTCTACTAAATAACTATTGTTTTTTACTAATAATTATCAAAACTAATAAGAATTTTGAAGATTTTTTTGTATTTTTCAGTTACATATAACTTTTGATTTATTATTGTTTTAGTGTATAAAACTAAAACATTAAAACTGCTTATTTGTAAGATTTTGATCTAACTAAGAAAATTGCGATCGATAACAACATTCGAACTAGTATTTTAAAACATCATTTTTATACTTAGGTTGGGTAGGAATGTGATAAAGAAATAAATTGTTAAGTACATCTGTAATACTGATCCAAAAGCAATTATCGACAAATCATTTTCTTAATTACATAATGTTCTATTTTATAAACTAGTTAATTGTGTATGGCTCCATAAAATATATGTTGTCACCCCTATAACACACAAGGAACCAAAAGAATACTTAATAGTTAAAAATCAAGATTTATATTTATCTGAGAAACATAAAAAAAAAATGTTTCAAAATAATTTAAACAATAATAATATAAATTTAGTTTACCATTGCTGAATGTTCTAAAATGCAATTAGCCAATACAAATCCAGCATCACAAAATGTATTCACGTCTATAAAATAAATTAAATTGAATGCACACTTAATATTCTCAAAGTACATTTACTCTAAAATAATCATAACATATACTGTATTTTATAGATTAAATTCTAAATAATATTATAGCCACTAATTAAAATATTGTAAGTAGGATCGTCACAAAGGCAAGGCAGCTTAAGAGATTGTCTAATGCTAAAGGATGACAATTTGTCTGACTTATAAGTTTCATAAAGATGCCTACAATAATGTTGCTAAAATAAAAGATTTTCACTATTATACTTCGCGACAACTTTGACAGTAATGGCTTTTAAATAACAACACTGATCTAGTAGGAATTTTTATCAGAGACAAAAATATACAATTCTAAACCAATCTTTTGCACTAAATCTACAATTTAACTTTTAAACATGCTTAAGTGTATTAAGTGTATTTAATACATTGTAAATTTTATTTATGCATGTTGCTTGTGAACTCAAAATAAGATGGTAAGTTATTACTTAGTGTCACTTAGTATTACTTATTACACAGTGTCAGTGTGATCTTCGGTGGCAGACTCGCCTTTCGGAGAAAACGACACGGACTGCGACAAGCATTTTAATTGTACGAATATAAGCTCCGCCAAGTAGAAGAAGACTACGAGGCGAGCCAAAGAATAGACTCTTCGTCTTCCGTCGTTGCTGATCAAGACGAAGAAGATGAAGCTATGTGTGCCGGAGACGGACCTGGCGGGAAGGATGCGGAGCCATCTTTAGGAAAAGGCACGTCTGCTATCGCCGGGAAGAGTCTCCGGCACTCAGTCCCCTCCGGGAAGAGACGCCCCCAAAGCGTTAATAGGATTATAGGAGGGTGCTAGTACGGGATGACGAGAGTGATGATGAAGCGACGTTTGACGTTGGCCTCAACTACCTCGCTCTCTCGCCAGATCCGCGGAGGTAACCATGAAGGAGGCGTCAGACACTCATTTGGCATTCTTCCTGTAGCAAATATCCCTGTCGTTCCAGTCTCTAATCGAGCTAAGAAGCTCTGCCGTGCCCTACCGGAAAAGAAATAATGACACTCCGGAGGAAATAACTGCGACTTCAACAATAGTCAATGAAGTCACCGATCAAGTCAAAGTACTCCATTGAGTCATCGACAAACGGAGGAGTATGAGAGTTCATAGAGAGGTCCAGGAAGCAACGAAAAAACTCGAAGCGATACTGAAGAGGGAATAGAGAAGACGACTGTCGTCGAGCGTTGGGGACCATCAGGCCCTACCCGATGGGAATGTGGGGCTACAAGCCCCCGATATCGCGGCTCTATTAAAGAGGTCAACCAAAGAAGCGGGCACGTAAATTGCAATGGACCCTTTGGTGATCGAACCCAAGGTGGCGGAGAAGCCAAAGAAGAAGAAAAAGATGAGGAAGGAAGAGAAAATGGAAAGCCACGTGCCCTCTTAGGATGTAATCCCACAAGCGATAGTTTCCTAGTCGGCTGCTCCTCGGGAGTTGGCTCCTCAGGAGCCAGCACTAGCCAAAGATACCACCTGGGCGATTGTGGTTAAAGGAAAGGGAAGGAAGTCTCCACTACCCACCCGGATAGAGGAGCCGAAGCCGCTTACGAGCAGAAGAGGAAACCCGTGCTTCCACGGCGACAACTGGATAAGATTGCGAAGGAGGTGGTAAATCTGCAGGAGATAGGCATGGAGGTCACTGGCTAACGGAAGACCGAGGCCGGGGAAATCCTGTTAGAGATCGGAAATCGCGAGAAAGCCGATCTCCTAGCAGGGATCCTAAAGGAGGACTCGGCGACAGAGCTAAACTACGTCGCCCAATAGCTATGACCTTGAACATGCTCGTGGTGTTAGAAAAGTTGACACCGCCGAACTAGAAAGAGTTCTCAAACTCCTACACCCGGATCTCTCTGAAGTGAGAGTTCCAGAAATAAGTGGCGAGCAGCGAAGAGGAAGATTCATGCGCCTGAGAGTCCCGACCAGCGTGGTCTACAAACTGGTCAAAGTCAAAAAGGTCAGAGTGAGCTGGGGTACATGTCGAGTCAAGGTGATAGACGTGAAAGGAGTTATGAACAAGTGTTACAGATGCCAACAGATGGGGTACATGGCAAAAGACTTCCGGGTGAAAAAATGAAAAAGAAAATTTTTTTTCCTTTTAGCCTAAGGTATTATTGTAGTGAATGGAAAAGTAATGCTTGTAACGTGACAAAAGGTATCTGTTTATTTTTTTTTGTCCATTTATATATATATATATATATATTTGTGTTGAGCCGAATGCGTACTGCGACTGCGTTTATCAGTTAAATAATCATGATAAGGTGTTGTGATTTGTTTGAGCGAGATAGTCAGCTGTGTACTATTTCAGACCGGTTCATGGACGGCATTTGTGGGTACATTCACCCCGCTCCTTTTCTATCTTGAACGTCATTTGCACTGCTCACTGCATACATTGTCGTCTTATGATTCAAATAGTTCTTAATAATTTCCGGCACTGGGTTTTTAATTTTTTTCTGATCCCTACTCTAAAGGCTAGCCGTGTTGTCGCTAACGGACCGCCGGGTCAAATGCTGGATGTTTTGTCGGAAATTAGCCATTATCAGAAATGGTTGTCGATTAATTTTAGTCAGTAGCGGTCGTGATTTTTTGTTGTGTGCGCTGCAATTGTTATTTTTATATATCTGTTTTACGTGAGTGTCCGCTATTTTTTTTTATAGTGCAAATTCTTTGTTTGTTGACGTCGGCTTAACCTGTCTCCAGTGTTCTTTAGCCTTTCGGGGCTGGTAATGTATCTATTTTATTTTATGTTTTGAGCCATACATATTTTTTTTAGTGCACCGTGCCTTAAGTAAGTGTGGGTAATTGTTTTTTATTTTTTTATTTTATTAAACTTTTTTTCAGGTGCCCATATTTTTTTTTATTTAGGTCCCTCAACATGGCAGGCGTGTTACAAGACCATCTCTCATGTTAAATCTATATTTTTTTTGTGATTTTTTTTTATAGGTTTTATATTATATTTTATGGGGTGATGCATATATATCATTAGTACAATATGGTGATGTAGTCCATTTTATTCCGGGGTGTCCCAACGTCTTGCAAGCTAAGTCTAACTATTTAAAACCAATCGCTTACTTGGGACGTATACCCGCCATGCTTAGCGGTAATCCCGTGATTAATAGCCGGTGGGTACCCGAAGACGTTCATCGTATTCTCAAATTGTAAAAGTGTAGGTGTAATTATTTTTTGTTATTAATATATATATTTTTTCTTTTTCTCTCTGTTCTCCTTTAATTTGTAGATGAGGTTTTTTGACCGTTCGGTTTTTGTCTCGTATTAACTTAATTTTTTTTTTTCAATAAAGTCCTTTTAATTTAACTTAACTATCATCTTATTTTTTTTTGCGTGTTTTATCTTCAATGGACTCGTGTATTTTTTTTATCTTTTTTCCTTTCAAAAATCAATTCCCCTTAGTTTATAAGGTACGGGCAACGGCCTTGTATAAGGTCATCCCTCAGTATTATGGTTATGTGATAACTGTCACGAGGTTTTGGTGTACATCAACTATCAACGACTCAACGGATATCAACTTCAACCTTTAATACTTTTCTATTTATTTTAAAATTGTTTTTAATGTACAAAATTTAATTTCTTTTTCAAATCCTACTGTGGTCCGACAATACATTATCTCGCCCATTGGGTTGGCGACCCTTTTCTTTTTAATTTTTCAATACGCCATGAAAGTTACAAATTTTTCGTTGCGGCCAATAAATTCAATTTCTTTTTTTATTATATTTATAACCTTTCATGCTTAACGGCACTTAATCAACGCTTAACAGAAAAAGCATTGGCCAAGCATGGACAGATCCTTGTGGATATGCGCACTTTTGTCACCGTTAACCGCAACGTCCATGTGGCCATGAAAAATTGGACCACGTAGCTAGGAAAAGGTTACACTGAGATAGTAGGCCTTCTGGAACTGCTACAACTAGACGTGTGTGAGTCGGGCGAAGATCTTCTGTGGTGACGGCCACACGGCTTAAGACGCTTATTACCAATGCATCCGTCCTAACAGGGCCGTGGAACCCACGACCGAAAAAGAAGAAGAAGCGGAGGAGACAAGGAGAGCAACGTGAGCCCGATAACCCCCCTCATTGGTTACGATACAACAGGGGATTGCGCCCCATCCAGTTGTAGCATCACGAAAGAAGGCGTGGGAGCATCCGCTCGCAGCTCCTTCCCCGATGGAGGAAAAGGTAAAGCTGACGACTAATGCCAAGCTCTTACCTATGCTTAGGCAATGGGTGAAGCAACTGTTGCCTCAAAACCGGAAGCTGTACTGGTGAAGCTCAAGGATGATCGGTCCTACACAGAAGCCGAGAAAAAACTCGTGGCTGGCGTAGACATCCAGGCTCTTCAACTGACAGTTACGGTCTTCAAGAAAACCAAGCAAAGTGACAATGATCTACGGGTTCCGAGAGGACAATTCGAGATCGCTGAAGCTGCATAGTGTGCTTTGGGAGATGCTGCGGTGGTGACCAACATCGGGAAACCTGTGTAGATAACCATACGGGATATCGCATCGGAGACCACGATAAAAGACGTCGGCCAGGTGCTTCGGCAGGCGACGGAAGCCGAGAACGTAGCTACCTCTACGTTCTCGGTTTCCCAACCGGATGGTCCTTGGACTCGGTGGCAGTCTCACAGGTGTCGCTTGGGTCTCTCAGGCATTCGGATTACATTTAGACCGAGTCGAACGGATGCTCGTTGGCCTGATACGCTGCCGGGTGAGACTCCGGTTTCGCCTAGAGCGGTGCTTCCGGTTTCATAAGTATGGCTACTTCGCTCGGGAATGCAATGGGCCTAACATATCGTCCCTTTGCTTGCCATGCGGTGCGGTGGATCACCGTGTGAGCAATAGCACGGGTCCACCACAGTATGTGCTTTGTGAGGGACGGCCCGGGGGTTCGGCGCATTACCCGGGCAGCGGCCATTGCCCGGCTTACGCGTAAGCGAGAAGGAAGTGGACGGCCAAGTGTCCATAAAGAAGACGATATATATGTATAATGAATTATGTGCTAACCCACAGCAAAGCCCTACCTCCATCACCACGTGGTGCGATCTAGGCAACGGATCCCACTCTGGGATCCGGCTAACAGAGGAGGCCACGTTGTGATGTGAGTTTTAATGCAACGTTGGTCGCCCTGAAGCAATACCTCACGGTAGTTCCAGGGCGTCCGGCATTATGTTGACCGTGGAAAAAAAAAAAAGTCTTGCTACTCGCTCAATGGTCGGCACACACGGTACGTAACGGCTGGTCTCCGCGGAGGAGTTGGACCGGAGGATGGTCTCAGCCTGCGACTTCGCCTCTCCGGCCCAACGACTGCCGTCGACTCGTGGACCGCCAGTCCACTGACGGAATGAGGAGATGGTGGCCAGGCGTGAGAAGTGTGTCAGGGTTAGGAGGGCCAACCGATGGCCGCGGGACCCGGAATCCCCGGATCTGAGGGAGGCGCTGAGGTCAGCCCGCAAAGAGCTCGCCATCAAGTGGGCCAAGGCGAAGTGTTAATCTGAACTCGTGAAGTCGGTGGATCACGACCCGTGGGGGAAACCCTATCGGGGCGTCATGCGGAAGCTCCGCAGTCCACTGTCTTCGAGTCATCTGAAGGCGGACATGTTGAAAAGAACGGTAAAAACACTCTTTCCGATACATTCACCACCCAAAAGGTAGCGCTCGTTCGGAGTTGAAACACTATTCCCGGCCACGACGCGATTCCAAACTGGTGTTGGATTTGGTAAACGACCTCGCCACGGATTGGATACGCGCTGTCGCAAATCGGTCGCAAATCCTGGAGAGTTGGATTTCTGAGAAAGGGTGACAAGCCCGAAGGTCTCCTTTTGTCGTACCGACCGCTTTGCATGTTGGACGACCTGAGGAAGATCCTCGAGCAACTGCTGGTCAACCGAATCGAGGCCCACTTACCCGACGTCAGCGGACTGGCTGAGAGTCAATTCAGTTTTAAGAGAGGGACGTCCACAGACGAAGCGACCTCTTCAGAGACAGCAGGGCTTCGGAGTGGCAGTGAGTCTGAACATCTGAAATGCGTTCAACTCCGTGCGATTGTCATATATCTTAGGGGCGCTGGACGCGTTTCAAATGCCTCCGTACCTTGGACGGATGATCCGGTCATACTTAAGCAATCGGATCATCTCCTACGAGAGCGCCGCAGGACCGAGAATCATACCCGTAACGGACGACGTCCCGCAAGGGTCGATTCTCGGGCCACTGCTGTAGAACATAGCTCACGACGCAGTGTTCCGCGTTCCGCTACCACCACACGTGCGCATCGTCTACTATGCGGACGACACACTGGTGGTAGCGGGAGGCGCCTCGTCCAAGGGAGGGAGGTTATACTTATTTTGCTATAACTTTACCGTCTTGGCAATGAGTTTCTATCAGTTTAGCTTCTTTCATGAGAACTTCATTATCAATCAACTTTTCCAGTTCTATAAATCTTGTTATATTCCAGTGACCTGTTTTTTTGTTCATCTAAAAAATGAAAGATTACAGATTTTTATAATTTATACAGCCAAATAATAACATACCGTTCCCATTTTTTGACCAACACATGGACCAATACACTAGAAATAAAATTGTTGATAAATTAAGAACAAAAATACTTAATACAAGAAAATTATGTTGAAAAATTATTTTAAAAGTTAAAAATAAATTACCTTACAACTATCAAATTTCTTATCGGTTGGATCTGCTCCTTTTTTTAACATATCTTTACAAACATCTATTAAACAATTATATTTTTATAATATTTTTAATTAAAAATTTTATTTCAATTAACGTTGTATAATAATCCTACCTGGGTTAATATTCAACTCAGTTAAACATGAAAACATGTTACTTATGGTAGCATCCATGAGCTGACTTTGATTGTGATAAGTCTCATAAGGATCGTTTCCCTATAATTATTTAATATATTTTTATTTCAGTTACAAATGAGCTAGGTCTTATTTATGTCTTAACCATAATTTAATAATAATAATTTTCATCTTTTACAAAAACATTTAATAGATATTTGGACAAAAATACTTTAAGTAGATTTGACTAAAAAGAAAAACAAGAAATCAGTATTTTTTTGTACATACAATAGACTAAGTGCATGTTTTTACAATATTTTGTGATACTCAGCTGTACTGATATACTTATTATAAAACACTAAATTAATCGAAAAATTATATTTATACATTTTTTATTGGTTTCTTTTGGACAATGGATCCTTCAATTTATCAATCATAAAGTATTTTTTTTTTGTTTATCCTTATACCTAATAAAGCCCAACAGTTACATAGAAATTAGATGATATAAATAGTGAAAGGAAATACATATAGTGAAGAACATATAAAAGTAAGGCAAGAAAGAGATTTGGGGACATATCCCCAAAGTTGACGATCAGTTTTAAATAGGTTAAATATTGAGGGTTTGGAACAGCCCATAGATTTTAGGAGAAATTTGCCCGATAAACGATGGCTTTTAATTTTGATACGAGAACAACAACAATTTCAAGGGCGTGGACAGGAGCAAAAAGAAAGGTGCCTAAATTGAACGTAAGCACGAAGCCATAACTGAATTACAATAATTATGATGGCATAAGGATGCAAAAAAGAATTGAAAGGAACCGTAGTCAGTCTTAGTGAGAATAATAAAATTAAAAATTAATTAAAAGAAGCAGGGGTGGGATCCATGTGATATTCTGGTAATACAACGGAGAAAATTAGACAGTGCAAAGAATAAAACTGGAAATGAGGAATCCAACTTAATAATATGTGGTCTAAGTTAAATTTTAGGTAAGTGACATACTGGAGTGAGGTATTAAATGACCATTAAGAGTGACAATGGAGATAGATTAATTAACTCCTTTCAAGAGCTCGAGTGAAGAGAGGAGGTTTTTGTAGAGGATGGACAAGGAGTCGTTGAGAATAGCCGCAGCGTGATCAAGTGATTTATCAGAAGAAAAAAGGACAATATCATCGACATAAAAGAGGGAGGAGAAACCGTAAGAGGGGAGGTATTACTGCTAGTGCTCATATATATATTTAAAATAATGGGACTAAGACAACTCTTTTGTGGAAGCCCGCCAAAAGAAGAACGAGAAATAGTAACACCAGAATGGGTGGAAAGGTGTAAGTAGCATTGAGAAAAAAGCGAGAAAATGAAATTACAAATTGAAGGGGATAATTTAATGGTGTTTAAGCATTTAAAAGAGCAGGAATATGTACTGAATTAAAAGCTCCCTTGATATCAATAAATATTTCTGGAAGGAATGTTTTTTGCAAAAGAACTCGTAGATGAGTGTTATAAAGGATGGTAGGCACTTTATAGTACCTAAGCCTCTCCTAAAACCAAATAGGTTATTAAAAATTAGTCTATTTGTTTCCAGAATCCAATCTAAATGAATTTTTAATATGCATTCTACTATTTCACAGAGATATGAAGAGAGGGCAATAAGTCGTAAAGTAGGAAGGGATGTATTAAGTTTGGGGATAGGAATGACGTGAACATTGATCCAGGAGAAAAGTGTAAGGCAATTGCCTCATAAAGAGTTTAAGACTAATAGGAAAGTATCCAAACCGAATTGAGAGATAACTTTTAGTAGCAATGGAAAGATACAGTCCAGGCAGGACGCTGAAGAGGAACGAAAGTGAATTGTTAAAGATAACTCTTTAGCAGTAAAGGATATAGTCAAAGTATGCGTGGAAGAATTGAATGAATTGGGGATATGAAAAGATGCTAGGGTTAATTCTTCGTGAGAAGGAACGTAAGGTGGCGCCACTTTATTACAAAAAGAATGAAACCAAAATTCATAAAAAGAAACTGGGTAACAATTAATGCAGTTTTTTAATTTTTAGTAATAAACTTTAGTTTCTTAATTGTAGGGAGGAAAAAAAATGAATGTCAAGCATTTTTTTGCATGTTTTAGAATGCAAGCGATGGAAAATCGTATACGTTGATAAGCAAGAAAGTCGGAAATAGAACCGGAGCATCTGTATTGACAGAAAAAACTAAGGGTTCTTTATCAGCGACCATACATGTAGAGTTCCAGCCATATGACTTAGTTTAAATTTATAAATATTTATTATACAATTTTAATATTATTTATTATTATTAGACTAAGTTAGGGATCACTTCACTGGAAGTGTAAATCCCATTCATTTTGTATTATTATATATATGTATATTAATTAGTAAAATGTATATTTATAATTTTGATAACCATTTAATTGTGTTCATAAAGAATTATGATCGTATCAATAAAAAGTACCGTAGGGTAGTTAAAAAAAAAGTAGTTATGTTTATACAGCATTTTGAAGTTTGTTAAATTTTGATTTTTTTTACAATTTTCCTATGGTATCAAATGTCATTCCATATTATGCAAAGTACAGAAATAAACACTTATTACATTATTTACTGGTAAGAGTACGCGATTTCTTTTCCATGGATAATAATAACGTTTAACGCGCTTTATACAGAAATGATTATCTCTAATCTTTATTACAAAAGTTAGAAACATTATCGTATATCAACTACGAGTGTTCCGTAGTTAGCCAAGTTAAAAGTGATAACAATTATTAATTTGCGTGATTCTATGATTGCAATCATATAATTATAGGATAATCCTTGTTAGGAGATTTCATGCGTTTATTCACTATTATTCACGTTTCAATTTATGATATATGAACTTATTTCATTAAAAATTCAACATGTTTCTATAATTTTTTTTAATAATCTGAATTATACTACTAATTGTTTTTCATATCAATTACAAATGATTATTCAAATGTTAATAATTTTCATGGAAAAGAAATCTAGTACTGTTACCAGTAAATATTGTAATAAGTGTTCACTTCTATACTTTATATTATATGGACTAACATTTGATACCATAGGAAAATTGTAAATAAAAATCAAATTTTAACAAACTTTAGAATGCTGTATAAACGTAACTACTGAATTAAAATAAGAGTTTTTGGTATTAAAATTTTTCTTTAAAACTTATCTATAAAAAGCAATTTTAAAATCTTAAAAATAATTTTAATAAAAAAATTAATTTTTAAAATATTTTTTTGTAATTGCGAAAAATAACATAAAACATATTTTGATATACAGAGTGATTTTTTTATCATAACCCACTCAATTAATTGCAGAATAATAATAATTTAAACATTTTTTTTTATTATTATCTTTAGTTACACATTATTCTTGAATTTTTAACTATGTAATACTTTTTAAGTTTATCCCTTATGCCTTGGAGGGGGGTCAACTTTGTTTTTTTAAATAGTAACACATATTTTTAATTTAATAAAATGTTTGAGTTTTTAATTTAATAGTAAATGGCATTTGAATTTTTAATATAACTTAATTCGTTTATTAGATATAATCATTTAAAGTTTCAAATTTTTGAATTAATATANAACATTTAAAGTTTCAAAATTTTGAGTTAATATACATGTATAATACACATGGGATTGTAAATACAGGTAACTAATTGGATTTTTATGACATTACTGTCTCAGTCACGGATTGTTTATTATCAATTATGATTACCAATAGATATACCTTCTGTATTGTCAGTTAGTGTATTTATAAACTCATAACAATGTGCCTTACTACAATTGATAATAACAATGCTGTATACCTGCTAATATCGATGTTATAAAAATCCAATTAGCTACCTATATTTGTAATCCTTGTGTATTATACCTGTATATTAATTCAAAAATTTGAAACTTTAAATGATTATATCTAATAAACGAATTAAGTTATATTAAAAATTCAAATGCCATTTACTATTAAATTAAAAACTCAAACATTTTATTAAATTAAAAATATGTGTTACCATTTAAAAAAACAAAGTTGACCCCCCTCCAAGGCATAAGGGATGAACTTAAAAAGTATTACATAGTTAAAAATTCAAGAATAATGTGCAACTAAAGATAATAAAAAAAAAAAATGTTTAAATTATTATTATTCTGCAAGTAATTGAGTGGGTTATGATAAAAAAATCACTCTGTAGTTCTATGTCGTAAAAATTGATTAAAAAAATAAAGAATAAAATGTTATGTAGATTATAAGTTATATCAGTTGTCAGTTAGATCCGTTCCACTCTGTATATATTGAGAAAAAAGGTATTTTCAAGTATACACCTGAATATTAAAATTTAAAATAAATTATTAACTGCCTTAATATTTTAAGTATTTTCAAAACATTAACACTATTCTAAAATATGTTATCGATATCCACATAAAAAGTTGTAGTTGATTTATTTACTGCAAATTAATTATTAACAAATAAAATATAAAATGTAGTAGATTATTGTGAGTTTCCATAAAAAAATTTCGAGATGTTGAGCTTTTAATATGTATAAAAAAATAAAACATAAGCTCTATGAGATTTCAATACAGCCCAAAATAACAAAAATTCTTTATAAAAAAAATATACTGTATTATAATAAGAACACAAATTAAATTTAAAAAAGTATATACTTACTTTTACAAGTTGGAATCCTATGGTGGAAGATAAAAAAATTATAAATAACATGATAGTATTTATTTAATTCGAGAGTAAATATAAATAACTTGAACGACAATAAATCCACAATTAAGAAAATCCTACCATATTTTTATGTTTTTATACTGATTGTTAAAATTAGCCAAATGGAACAAATTATTAGTTCATAACAATGAAATATGAAATTTCTATGATCGTACTTTTAGATTGCACAGAAATAATTGTGTTTTTCGCGTTGTTGGCTACTGCATGTCCTTAAAAAATAATAATCAACAAATTTTCAACAATTTTTCCCTTGAAACTTTTTATATTAATATATCAATAATAATAAAACTCAATACAATTCGACATAATAGGGGACACAATAATTTTAAACCAGTATGAATTGAAAAATCTAACGATCATTAAAATATAAAAAACGATTCAATATGAATGCACGTGAAATTTTTTTTGGGATGAATTAATTTATTACTGTGGAGTAATATAAGATCCCTCAGGAGCTCATTCAGGGGACACTGGGTGCTTGTACTCCAGTTGGAACTAAAGAAATCTCTAGCCAGCAATTTAAATTATAGAATAAAAGATCTATTTTTTTTGCTTATTGAAATTAAAAAAAAATAGTGATTTAAAAAAAAATATTTTGATGAGTAAAATAAAAAGGTCGTGGTGGGCGATACATTTGAGTTCTCAGGCGGTACAATTTTTAAATATGGCTCATATTTCCCTTAATACGCCTTTACAACAAATATCACGAAAAAAAACCTAAATTAAATCTTTTTACTTGGTAACCGAATTTATATCAAACCCTAAGCTTCTACTAGTTAAACTAATTCATAAACGTTAATAAAAATTTCAAAAAGATTATAACCTCTACCCCTCAAATATTAATCAAATTTTCTATCAGCTCTACATTTTTACATTAAACTGTCAATAAACTTCATCATTGTCAGTTTTTACACTTTTTAAATAAATGTCATTCGTTAACAATAGTACCAGACAAAGATAAACACATCAGTAATAATTCATTTCATTCATTCTTGAAAACTTACTCTAGGAATCCACTACTTGTTTTCCCTCAATAACCAATTAAAACATATATATTTTTATCATTCTTCATTTAAAAATATCAAAATTTCAAATGCATAAAAATGACCTTGTAAAGATTAAAAACCTTCAAATTTCCTGTGATGTTAAATTATTTTACCAATTTAAAAAAATATTTACTAGCTATAACAGTATCGCATTGTATCTATAATTTTTAATTTTACCAACGATTGATGATGACAAATTATTAATTATATTTAAGTATACGAGACATGTTGTCTTTAACTCATTAAATATTAAAAGTCAGAGAGAGTGACTTAAGTCAAACACTTTAGAGTTTCCAAAGAAAATAAAATTAATATTTTTGTTACATCAAATATTAGATTGTTAATGAATTTTGGACTAAATGAAGAACAAAATATATATGATAAGAATAATATAAAAATATTTAAATAAATAAAACCCAGCACAGGGAGGTCGCAGCACAGTGGTGACGTGGCATAGTTGGATCAAGTATAATGATATCTGACAGTGATTAAAATCACTATCAAAAAAAAATAGTTTAAAAAAACTAAAAACACGCTTTTAAAGCACATCGAACTAAAAAGTTAAAAATAATTTTTATAATAAGCTTAAAACAATAATGAACGAAAAATACTAGTATTATTGTGAAAAAAAGCGTCGGGCGCTCAATATACAAAAAATATGGCACAAAGCACCCACGCTTTTTTTCACAATAATACTAGTATTTTTCGTTCATTATTGTTTTAAGATTATTTTTAAAATTATTTTAAACTTTTTAGTTCGATGTGCTTTAAAAACGTGTTTTTTAGTTTTTTTAAACTATATTTATTTTTCACTTTTTAGTTACATGTTATGATAATAGTTACTATCAATATCATAGTTGTAACGAGTAAAGGGGAATCAGGGTTCGATTTCGGAGAGGGAGTCTAAGAAACTGCTACCACATCCAAGGAAAACAGCAAGCGCGTAACGTGGAGGTAGTGACGAAAAATAACGATACGAGAATCATCCTCCGTAATCGAATGAATACTCTACATATCTCTTAATGAGAATAAAGCGTATTAATATATAAATTTTAATAGTAATTAGAATATATATATACATGTAAAGCGACTTGAGTACGTATACGTATCACGCACAAGGTATAGCCGTGTTTTGTGGGCGGGAGTGGCGGGGGAACATTATACACGAGGCATATACGGCGTCAGCTGTAGGAATATATAAATGAATATTAACATATACGTATATATAAATATTAATATATATATATATGTATGTATATACAAATTAATATTAGCGGTGGCGCTAGGAATACATGATCTTCGCATAATATCGCGACACTTTCGCTAGCATAGACGACGCGATGTCTGGCGTAATCTTCGGGCGTCAAAAGATTAGCAGCGTTGATGGCGACGGTGCGCGAGTGCGGATAGGTTTGTTGACGTTATTACTTTGACAACGAGAAGAAGACTACGGTATCATTAGCGGCGGGACGTCGTGCGGCACTTGCTGGACTTTGCACCCCGGCGTCAAATACTCGTAAAATAGAGCGACGGCTGACAAAAGTGGCACGAGTCGTGGGACATCGTGTATAACGAAACGACGCGGGGCCGTATCAATCACAATAAAAATGTATATATATATATATAATTGATGAGACGCACGCGTATACGGGTATGAAAACCAAAAATAAAAATATACAAGAAAATATTGATGATGGTGAGGGATGAGTGGGGTGGGGTGAACGCTTTATGACAGTCTAGTCTCAAGGTCATACACGACGGGATACGCGACATAATAACACGTGCCGCGTGGAGTTACAAACTTACAACAAACATACATGTGAAACTAATATAAGCGTGTTAAAAACGCTTTGATGCAAATCTTTAGATAGTATTTAATTTTAAAAATTGGTGGATTATTCCAAAAACTTCATGATCTTCTATTTCCTTATTAATATACTGATTAAGATAAAATATGTCGAATGAAAATGGGATTAATAAAAAATATTATTTCTCATAAAAAATTATGTTGATCCATACACTTTTCAATAAGTTATAGCATTATAAAGTTATAAATGTAAAAAATAAAATCGAGAATGTTCATACAAAAATAGCATTTGGTAACTATTTTCACCGTGAAGACAAAGTAAAGTCCGAACATTTTTTTTTCCATAATAAAGTACGTTATATTATCATTAATTTAAGATATATATAAAAGTGTCACTTTCAGGAACACTTTCAAAAGTTAATTTTTTGTGAAAACGTGGTTATTTTGAAACCTCCCCTGTGGGCAGGTAAAGGGTCAGATTTATAAAAAAAATATACCAAATGATTGGTAAAGACATCAAACATCTATAAAAAAAACGGTAGCACAGTGGGGTCGAGGCACAGTGTGGACGAGGCATAGATGGAACAAGTATAGATGATATCTGACAGTGATTAAAATCACTATCATAAGAAACGCTTCGATGCAAATCTGTAGATAGTGTTTCATTTAGAGGAATTGGTGGATTATTCCAAAAGCAACATCAACTCTTATTTTTTTCAATTATATCCTGATTAGTAGTTCTTTGATTTTAAAATGTAATTATGAATAAATACTAATTATAGTTTTTAATTTTAGTATGAAATTATGAGGCCAGCTATGATGTATAGTTCATTGTGTTGGGCGGTTGATAAGAAAGTAGAGCAGAGAATTAGTGTAGCAGAGATGAGAATGTTTAGTTGGATGAGTGGAGTGACTAGAGAAGATAGGATAAGGAACGAGCATATAAGAGGAAGTATAGGTGTTGCGTCAATCGTGGATAAGATGACAGAAAATAGACTTAGATTGTTTAGTCATGGTATGAGGAAAGAAGAATCGAAAGCTGTAAGAACAGTTATAGAAATGAATGTTGAAGGAAGAAGAGATAGAGGAAGACCAAAAAAGAGANTAATGGGAAGCTGTAAGAACAGTTATAGAAATGAATTTTGAAGCAAGAAGAGGTAGAGGAAGACCAAAAAAGAGATTGAGGGATGTTATTGAATGCGACATAAGTACAGCTGATGTGAGCATAGAAGATGAGGGAGATCGTATCAAGTGGAAACTTAGGATAAGAGTGGCCGATCCCAAATAGTTGGGATTAAGGCAATGAAAAAGAAAATTCCGGTGGCAATTGACATAATATGATTGTTGTTTGGGAATGTACAATTTAGCGTTTAGTTGGGTTTAAANTCGGAATGTACAATTTAGCGTTTAGTTGGGTTTAAATAATATAGCGTCAAATCAATTACCTACTCTATCGGTTGTATATTAATATACACTACACATTAATGATACAATAATTAAATAAACTCACACATACACACATATGCATTTATAACATTGTGTCTAATGTAAGTATAACATGATAAAAAGTAACCGTAAAATGAAAAAAATGGAATATAAATTTTATTACTCATATTAAATGTAATGTAACTCGAAAAATATTTGTTTAAATGAAAAAATATAAGATTATATTTTTATTTATAATTGTCTTTTAAACAACTTTTGTGCGAAACTTTTTTTTGTAAGTTAAAT